TGTGCAGAAAGTTCTCAGGTCCAGCAGAAGTGATACTTTATATTCCTCCTAGAAAATCTGAGGGAGCTTTGCTTCTTAATTAGAAGTGATGTTTTCGCTGGAGCTTGACAGATTGGTAGGCTTTGAGGTGAGAAGAGAGGAGTAGAGTGAGGTGTGGAATGGCTGGGGAAAAGCCCGGGCAGAAGCGCAGAGCTGGCAGCACGCAGGGTGTATTCTGGGATTGGAACCTTAATCTAAAAGGATTTTAATGCAGTGGGGAAAAAATTATACGAGTAGACTGGGCTTGGGTTGTGGAGGGCTTTAAATATGATGGCCCTTCTGTATATAATGGGAAACTGCCAAGGTTTCTGAACAGGGAGGGCCCGAGTTCAGTCTAGTGTAGTATGGATGGTGGAGGAGTATGGATTTAAGGAGGGGTGGTTAGATGAGAGGTTATTGGAATCATGGAATCTGTTCTCTTCCCATTCGTTCTGCTACTTTTGTCTAAGCCCCTCTGGCTCACACTCACGTTATTGCAGTAGTCTGTGAAGTAGTCTTTATTTCCACTTTGCCCCCACGACGCTGTTCCTTCAGTACAAAGGGATCTTTTTTAGACCATAAATTAAATGTTACACTGCTGCTTAAAATCTGTCATCATCTAAATGCACTTGGACTAACATCTGAATCCCTCCCCATAGTGTGCAGGGAAACCTTCTGCAGGATGTGTCATCTTCCTGCCTCTCACATTCAAGCTGACTTGCTCTCTCACACCCTAGCACTGGCGGAGTATTTTCCAAGTCACTTGCTTCCCTTGACTGTTGCCGTTAGCTCTTTCACCCTTTTGCTCCTGGCTTAGGTGCCACCTCAGAGAGCCCTCTTTGACCACCCCATTCTAATTCCACACTGCCCTGTATTTACTTCATGACACATGCCCACCTGTGATTTGTCTGTCTTGTCTGACCTGTACTTTAATATCATAAGCTCTGTGAGGGCAGAACTGTGTCTTCTGGGTTTACTGCTTTACCCACTTTGCCTGGCGTGTGCAGAAAACCATTTGATGAATGGATAAGGAGCACAGGCGGCCTTCTGGTGGTAGAAATAAAATACATGGTGATTGTGGCAGTTACATACAGCGTTAGTCCAGAAGGTACTGGGGAGTGGGGATTGGAGCATGAAAGAAGAGGCAGGGGGTAAAAGTGCAGATTTGGAATTGAACTATTTTGAGCTAATGATTGAGGAGGTGGGAGTGGATTGAGATAGAAGGTGTGTTTGAGAGAAGGTCCAGGGTAACACTTTTGGGGAGAATGAACACTTAGGAAATTAAAAGATTAAAAGGCAGGAAAAAGCCAAGAGAAGCAGCCCATAATTGGAAAGACCCAGGAGACTATTGTCAAGCGGAGGGGTGGTAAAGAGCTTTGAGTGCTGTGCAAGGACTGGGGGGTAAGGGGCAGCAGTGCAGGTTTAGAGGTTGCTGATGAGTTTGAGAGATTTGTTTTGGTCAGTCTGCTTGGGGGACCAGATTATAGTGGGTTGTGGTGTGACTGGAGGAAAAGGAAGTGGGGGAAGTTAAGTTTGGGTTACTACTCGTAGAAATTCTGTGGCAAAGTCAGAGGGTGATGGGGCAGTTGAATTGCTTGATAGGATAGGATGTTAGAGGCATAAGAAGAAGAGCCAGTGCAGGGCACTCAGTCATAGATACGCAGGTATGCAAGTCTGGAAGCAGCTATTACTATTCAGAAGCTTGTGGTTAGTAGGTTTTCTGACTGGTGAGTGAGAATGGCGTCATGCAGTGCCGCTCAGACTGAGGTAAAGGGCCAGTTTAAAAGATTTTTAACCTTCACCATCGTGGAATGATATAATTTACTAATGTAATACAAAAAATGAACTGTTAGAAAAATAATCATACTCTCGGATATTGTGGCAATATCAAATTACTATAAAAGTTTCTGAATGCTTTTAATTTCTGCCTCTCATTGTAGGATGGTAACGAACAGTTTGTGGATGCTCCCAGGCTGCAGTCTCTCTTTCAGTAGCACTAATGTAGTGGGTGAGGGAGCAGGAGATCCAGGTATTTTTCTTGAGTGGCCCATCCGAGTTCTTAGATGGGCTAGTGAGTTCCAGGTTAAGATCACCCAGTAGGAGTCGCATGCTAACTAACACTAGCAAAAAGTAGAGACTCTACTTTTATAAACTCCAAGCGTAGTAAACAAGTCAGTAGCCTTGAATAAGATGTTGGCCCCTTTCCCTTCTAATACTTAAAATTACTTGAAGTAAAGGAAAACTGTTTAAACACATAACAGTCAAACTATGAGGATTACTACCTTAAATAGGAGTACTATTAAAATACGAGAACTTTTACCAATCAAGCCAGGAAGTAGTTAAAGCACACATTCTGAGTTTTATGAAGAATTAAGAGCAATATGAGAAAGTGATAATGATAGATAATGAATGCTATCTCCCGTTACGACATTATGTTGAGTGAAAAGTCTGGAATCGCGTTTTGCTCTGATGATGGCTGGGTAAAAGTATTGCATGTGTATTTTATTGGTCAGGACACTTAGAGTCATAAGTGATAGAAATGCAGCTCAAGCCAGCTTCAGCACAAAGTGGGCATTTCTTGGTTTATGAGGAAGCAGGGGACTGGCGGGGTAAAACACATTCAGTGGAACTACTGCCAGGTTACCATCAGAACTCACTCTCAGGCTGGGAACTGGCTAATTGTGGAGGTGGGGGAGAGAAATCCTTCAGTGTAAGAAAGCTTGTGACCAAGCCTGAGGCCAGAAGAGGTAAAATAACAGCAGTGGTTTGAACCCAGGCTACCCGCGCTTAACCTGTACAGCTTCTTCCTGTGCCTGACAGAGCGTCCTGACAGTGTTTCTGAAGCAGGGATGCCATTGTTTAAATTTGGCATATTATAGCACAGATCTTTTGCTCACAGATTTCAGAAGATTTAAATTGAAAAATTGTCTTCATGCTCACTAGCATTCAGCTGCTATTTATAGTTTGTTACAGTATCTCACTCCTTTTCAAAAGGGACTATTTTCATTCATTCTCCCTGCTTTGGGCAATATGAAAACAAAATGAATTGTCTGTTATGAAAATTAATAGCACCAAAGAGTGCAATGTCTTGTCTTCCGTGATTCTGTGTTGTAATCAGAGATTAAACATTTATGTTTAGTCTTATTTGGACAATACTGTCCATTTCTTTAGGATATAAATATTTAACTCGGGGGCGGGGGAAGAGGACTGCACAGTCCTAGTACAGTTTAATATTTAACTTCTTTAAACTGAAACATGGGCTGTTAGGTCACAGACATAAGTTGACATTGCGAATTTTTGTCTTGCCGTCTTAGCCATGGACTTGACCTGGACTAAGTTTCTGGAGAATTGTTGTCATGTGAGAATGTGTAATGTATCCTTACTTCCTGGACGAAGTACACAGGCCTTGACTATGCCTAAAACACGTTTAATACACAAAGTCCAAATTAAAAAAAGCACAAAATTGTTTAAATTTTTTCAATTCTGGGTCTGAAGAAGCCCAGGCTTCATTCTTATTTGCTACAACAGATTTCCTTCAAATAATGCATTGGCAAGGTGACAGGTGAGTGACCCCATCCATGTCTGGTTGGGGAATATATCTCTGAACTTATTTTCATCTTAAAATGTGGATGTAAGTTGGAGTCCAAGTGGCTTGGCACTGATAAAAAATATATATACACAACAATTATAGTTCTTTATATGGCACTTTTTAACTGGGTGTCTTATGATCTGTTTTACTATCTCAGGTATCTCAAGTCCAAACAAATTTTATTTTTGTAGTAAAAAGTCTTTATTTCCAAAATGATTGGTTAGCCAGAGAAACTATAAACCACCTAACACAAGACTTTGGGAAGAAAGAGATTTGATGTTTCTTAAAAATTCCCCCTTGCAAACAAAAAAGAATTAACACTTACGTAACAAGAAACATGTTACCCATTCTCAGCCATTAACCAGGTGCCTGGTTTTAAGTCTCCAAAATTTGGATTAAAAATGGGACCAAATAAGAACATGAGATACTAGGGTGGCTTGTCCTTAGAGTTACTTAGGAATTGCCATTATATGGAACTTTGATGATTTTCATGGGTTGAGAGGAAGGATGCGTCTGGGTAGCTCAGAGTAGTGTTGCAAAAGTGAGCAGATTCTGTATCAGGACTTTTTTTTGTCCAAGTAGAAATTAAACTTATTTCTTTAAATTTTGTGCTGCTTTGTGGGAGGAGGAAGCAGTTCACTTAAGGATTTAAAAAATAATGTTGGAAACAACTCAAACCTCCAGAGAGCTCAGGAATGGTAATAGTGGTCCCTCCAGAATGAGGGTGCAAAAGGCATAGCCTTTGCTGACTCTGATTGATTGAAATGGAAACAATTGTTAAAAAGACCCAACCTTCTGAACACTGAATTAGTTTAAAACTAAAACACGAAAGACAGACCCAATGAGTTTTTTATTGAACAGTCTCTCTTGTGTTAAAGAAAACAGTACAGATTCAAGGCTATAGCATATATATATGTTGTGTTTGGAATATCCTGATGTGTTTAATGCAGGTTCTTAAAGTAGTGTATTCAAAGCAATGTATGCATCTCATCCACGGTACATATTTGGATTAAGCACGATAAAGAAGGCCTGCAACAGAAATGAAACAGTAATTTTAACAATGAATGAGTAACAACTGCTGATGGACGCAACTCGGTAAAATGACCTTTTACACTAATCCTTGATAGTCAGTCTCCCTGAATTTGGTGTGCTTATGAGTGATCTTTCC